TTTTTAACATTTTCTAATGGTGGTGTGCCTCGTGATTTTTTTCATGAAAAAAGTGTGCCTTTGCACAAAAAAGGTTGAAAAACACTGCTCTAAAGGGTGTAGGCTTTGTACCATCTATGCATGCAGATTTATAATAATCATAATGCAAACAAGGAGGGATCCCTATTCAGATGTAAACCTGGCTACCAACAGCTAACAGAAGCTGCTAAAGATAAATCTCAGGTTCTAAAACCCCCAGCTGTTTAGTATTCCTTCCTTCCTCACTTGTGCAGGCAAAATAAACCTGCCCCTTTTGAAACACTCCGTGTCTCTTGCTTTTCAGGTCCAAATTATACATGGCTGACCTTGAATCTGGGCTGCATTATTTGTTCAGGGTGGAACTTGCCACCCACAAAACCCTAGAAGGCCCTGAGCTGAGGACCTTGAAAGACACCGTTCTTCTCCTGGCCAAGGTGAACCCTCTCCGCCTTCTCGTTGGGTTTTTGCAGCCTGCGGTAAATCACGCTGAGCAGGGACTCTTCTTAAGCTCCAGGACTCGCCTAATAAAATGGAGGTCTGATGAATTTATGGGGAAGGAGAAGACGAGATTCCTGTTTGGAGGCCAAATGGCCCATTCAGAAAGGCCCAATTAGAACCAGGACTTTCACTGCTGGCTTTCTCTGTGCGTTTTTACAGCCCTTTGAGAACTGGTCTCTTCAGAGGAGATTCGTAGGATCCAATCACCGGGAACCGAGTTTTAGCCTTCTGAGCTTTTGAACTTCTGCTGGAGCCCACCCTCGGGGGATTTTTAGCAGTGCTGTGTGTGGCACAGGCACCATATACCGTATTTTTCAGAGTATGAGACGCTCCAAAGTATAAGACGCACCTAGCTTTTGAGGAGGAAAAGAAGAAAAGAAAAAAATCTGGCTCTGCCTCCCAGCAATTTGCCTCCTTGCAGCAAACAGCAAACAGCCTGTTACAGTTTCAGCACAGCCTGATTAGCACAAGCAGCTGATTGTCCGATCAGCTGTTTCAGGCTGCAGGGATTGCCATAGCCTATTGCCGCTTCCGCGCGCCCCATTTTCCGCCCGTTCTGGACGGCGAGGATTGGAATGGGTGGAAAATGGGGCATGGGGAGGCTGAAAACGGGGCACGCAGAGGCCAAAAATGGGATGTGGAGAGGCCGAAAATGGGGCGCGCGGAGGCGGCAACAGGCAATGGCGATCCCTGCAGCCTGAAACAGCTGATGGTCGGGAGAGGCCGATCCAACTGACAAATCAGTTGCTTGTGCTAATCAGGCTGTGCTGAAATTGAAACAGGATGCTTGCTGTTTGCTGCAAGGAGGCAAATTGCTGGGAGGCAGAAGGCAAAGGGGCGGGCAGTGGGGGGGCAGGGATACATTTGGTGTATAAGATACACCCAAAATTTCACCCTCTTTTAGGGGTAAATACCTGAGAATTGAAGTCCATACCTCTTAAAATTTGCCAAGGTTGGGAAAAGCAGGTTCAGAACATCCTCTTTTGGGGTGAGCTTACCGAAGATCACCCTACTTGGAAGTGGTTTCCAAGATGCTCCATCAGAAGTGGCCCTGTGGCCCTCTCTGTGTCCAGAAAAGTAGCTAAGCCAGGCCTTCACAGACATACCTTTTGAAACCGGGCATCTTGTTAAAAGGATGTTTAACTGCCCTATTTGTAGTTCCGTTTCTGCCTGTGTCTCCGCATTGGAAGCCCCTGGATCATCCTGCTTGGATGGAAATTATAAGATATAAATCAGATAAGTCAATAATGGTAAATAGGCAGATTGGTTGTTTGGCAGCATATGGGGATAAAAACATTTCATAGAGAGGATTTTGTTTTAGTTGAGAAGGAAATGCTACAATAAAGCCGAATTAGCTAAGAGTTCCCTGAGCAGTACAGGGAAGCGCCAGCTTTGATTGCAATAAACAAACATTTTATCTTGTAGACAGAAATTCGCTACCCCAGAAGGCTGGACAGCTTTCTCCAAACAGGGCCAATTTAATCTAATTCAGTGTTTTAAGGCCTAGAAACCAGGAAAGTGTTGAGTTCTAGTCCCGCTTTAGGCATGAAAGCGGGCTGGGTGATTTGGGGCTATTCCCTCTCTTCCCAATGCAACCCACCTCACAGGGATGTCGTTATGGAGAAAAGAGGAGGAGGAAGGAACATTAGGTATTCCCTGTTTCCCCCAAAATAAGCCCTCTCTGGATAATAAGCTCAATCGGGCTTTTGAGCGCATGCACTAAAATAAGCCCCCCCCCCAAAATCGGCCCTCTCCGAAAATATTGCAACCCAGCAGCAGCCATGAAGTGACCACACTCTCCGCTTCCTGCACTTCAAAAATAATAAAAATA